AGAATTACTGCCTTTTTTTCGTTAGTTACCGCTATGTTAACTACTATGGTTTCATGCTCGATAAAACTTTCAGCGATCGGATTCGGCTTTCGTCTTTAGCGACAGCATTGCGAAAATTATGTATCGGAAATAATCGTTGCAAAAAATCGTTAAAATTGTAAATATTCATCAGCAAGTTACGAAATCATTGCCTTACAGTTGATTTCAAATAAAATAAAAATTTTTGCAATGTAATTTTTAAAAATTACACCGCAGATATATAATTAAAATATTGAAAATACATATTACATATTACATTAATAACATCACAGAAAATTTGCAATAAAAATATCGATGACAATGGCTAACATCGTAAAACCAAGAAAAATATGTGAGTGGATCGTGGATCGCGAGGCCTATCAGAATCAAAGGGTCTTGCCATCGATTAAACAAATCGCCCTATTATGTCCAGGACACGTGTCTATGTTTACGATGTACGTGATATGTTTACGATGTACCCTTGGGGTACATCCTGCTTTGGGAAGTTAAAAGTTCTGCGCGGAATAACTTTGTGCGTTTTACGATTAATACGTAGATGCACGCAAATATAATGTTGATGTAACAATAATTTGGCATCGTATTTCATAACTTTACAATTTTATGAATAAAGTTGAATTAGAAGCTCCAAACATAAAGATGTAGCTTGCATCGATGATTTTGTCTAGGTGTTTTTAATTTTTAATTTAATGTCGCGTAAGATGCAGGTGATTTTCGCATATCTCATTAATATTATTAAAAAATTATTTTATATTACACTTCTCACTTTTGTTTTATCTAAATATATCAATCTACTCTATTAATATATTTACTACTCTATTAATATATTCATATCATTTTTATTCAAGAGTTTTTACGTAGATAATAAAAAAATACGCACAAATTTTTTCTTACTGAAAAAAGGAATACTATCAAATGATAGATCAATTTATGAATATTGTAATATACTTTTATAAAAGTTCTTATTTATGCAAATCGCGAATACGGAAATTGTACGACGTCTCGACAACTATATATTAGCAAAAGCAGCAATACGCTCAGTAAATAGCCTCTCCTACTCGACGTACCGCAAGAAGAACGCGCATGCCTAAGCTTTTCACGAAAGGCGGACCTGTGTAGCTTTTCATCGACCAATGTGCTTTTGTGGGTGGTTTACAGGACGTTCTCGGACTTGCGCGCCGCTTTCCTGAAGCGGCCATGCTATACGCGATAAAATTCCATAATTCATCCTCCGGGGTTTCAACTATCACCGATAAGCCCGCGGCGATCGAATGCGACTTTCATTATCGTTTTATTTAAGCTCGTTGTAAACGTAGTCCAAAATAAATTTTAGGTCGCGATCGATGGCGACTTAACGAAGGGATCACGTCAATACAACAGCGAACAGCTGTAGCGAAGAACAATCGCAATCACAAACGCTATCGATTAAAAGTAATTCAAAAAGACACGAGCTTTTAATTAGAAACATTTTTGTTAATTTTTAACAGCACATCGCTGATGATTTTGCGCCGCAAAGTAGCCAGTCGAGCTTTCGATGCAAACATCGCGAAAATCTTTGTGCATTGACTGGCCGGAGTGTAGTAAGTTGTAAGTAGTAAATTGCTTCTCCTGACAACACCGTTTGTTGCAATTCATGCCTGCTATTATTGTATCGAGCATAATAAACTACGACATACGGACCACTCGTTACTGTGCGAATCGAGCGAAGGTAAAATTGTAACACTGTCATTTCTAATTTTATATATAGAATTATTCCGATAAACAAATAAAATAATACTATGCAAAAACAACATAATCTTTTATATTCTCAACACTCAATGTTGTATAAAATTAACGGTGTCAAAAATGCAACAATTTTGCACGCAATTTTCAAAAGAGCTTTCTCTTAAAGAATTTTCATTATTCTGCAATATACGTAAAAAAAGAACTTTTTCCACCGTGAGAAGAAATCCGGTTTTCAGAGGGTTAACAGAGCAGTGTAACAAGAATAGAGCGATGTTATCGTGTAAGGTCAGAATTAATTAATTTATCACCATGCAGTTACCGGACGTGTTTCGTCATATACGCACTTATATACCTATACCTGCTTATAGAAGAAAAAATCAAATGTTTTGAAACGCACGAATGAAATCACACCGTGTTCCACATCTTTCCCAGTCAATGACGCGTTCCACCACATGCTGTGTAAAAGCAAATATGCGATAGACGCGAACACACGTTACTATTGCTAGCTCATTTCTGTGTTACCTCGTAATTGCCACGAGTGACTTCGATCCGATCATTTTATTAAACGATACGCCGCTCTTATCTAAACGCATTCCATCTGAGAGAGAAACATTCAACGACGAGAGATGAAAGGATCGACGAGGCTGAAAGCGCGGGTACAAAGAAATGCCGGTGTGTCGCCGGAATAGATAGGCGACTGAAAAAGTGAATGCACAGTGTGTGTAGCGGTACATTGCCCGTCTCGCCTGCAGGTTACCGTGAATTATCAAGCCGTCAATTCCGAATAAACGGAAAAGCACGTTCACTACGCGACTTTCACTATCGGTCCGCGGTGGAGAACAGTGGGAGAAAATCGTCGGCAACGGCTAGTTGAGGATAGCGTCAACGCAACGACGACTCGCTGCAGGAGCGAACTAATGAAAGATCTAAGATGTGGAACACGGTGGATACCGTGACTGTACCGCAAGGATCATTCCTTCGTCGGTGACTAACCGGTCTGTAGGATCGGGAGGAATGATTATAACACGAAAATTACGTTTCGTTTTTCCGACTGGTCCCCGACTGCGGATGAGGCGCTTTATCTCGACGATCGGAGGAGACATTACGTCGCAACCTCCGACCCACATAAGGAATGCCACGCTGCGCTCGTTACAGGTGAATGCACTCGGAGCGTGGAACACGCGACGAAATACGAGTGCGCGACGAAGGGAATAACACGCGATGAGTATCCGTGAAAAGAAGATACGCCGATACGTAATGATCTTCTCTGAAGGTTTTCTTTCTAATTCAAATACTTTGTATTCCGTAATCGGCGCGATCGCGGACATCGCGGCCAACGAGGTCCTCGAGATGCAAGGTCCGGAGAAAAGAAGTAAAAAAAAAAAGAATCAGCGCTCGAGGCGCGATGCATCAAGCTGAGAAGCGCGTAACAGGTATGCGATGGCGATTTTTCCGCGAGAATGTGGCGGGGAGAACCGCAGTCAAGGCAAAAGTAGGATAAACGTACCCACATAAGCGGCATGATGACTCTCCTTCCTTTAACCCTCATACCGAAGACTCCACTAATATTTTCAAGTTATATTAGATTGATGCAAAAAATCTCTCGCTTTTCTATAAAGAGAACTATATTTTAAAATCAAAATATCCGTTCCTATATTCTAAAAACTCAGGAGTGTTTTTAGTTAGACGTATAAAAACTTGTTTCTAGATGAAAAAAATTTCAAGTCAATGACTGGCGACTGTTTTATTGGGAAAAATTTCAGATTTAATTTAAGATTCGGTATCATCATTCTGTCACCAATTTTACTTGTGACCAATTTTACTTTACAAATGCGATAGATCTTTTGCATCGGTTTAGTGCATTTCAGGTATAGAAATTTAAATTGTTCATAGGACAATGCATTTCCGCTTGGTTTACCGCTACTTGCATAATCAGTTTGTTTCTTTCAGTTTTTCGCCAGAGTTATGAACGAACAAAAAAAGCTTAGTATCCCGATATGGCGAGCAGGAAGATAACTAAAATGCAAATGTGAAAACTAAAAGGATATAAAAAAAGCCCTTTATATCTTGCGATAAGGATTCCTCAAGCATCGCGTTCCTCGTTGACGACTTTACGAGTCACGTCAAATACCAAAATCCGCCAGTTTCCTCGTATTTTTATCCTTGATCTCAGATTTCGTGACATATTTTATTGCCTTAGATGTAACGCTACGTGTATCGCGCTGATTATCATTTAAAACATCTGCAAACAATGTTGTAACCCAAAATTGGAATTATCTTTCACAAAACATTTTCATCCACGCTATAAAATAAAATTACAACTGCAAAGTTCTCGCGCTATTTAGAATTTAATTGTGGAAATGTTTCTCATACCAACATTTTCATTCGCATGAAGAACACAAAACTTATTGTTTGGAAGAAAGCATTATTACCATGTCGATTCTTGCAAAATGTAAAAGAAATTCCATCCGACGCTTTAATTTATGAAAGTAAATGCTACTATCGCATTTAACAACAGATATTAAAAGATCCGATTAAATAAATGTAATGCACAATGCAAAACCAGCTAGCCGTTCTCTCGCCAAGTGGAGCGACGCGGAAAACGCTATAGCGATCCTGGCGACCGCGACCCCACCGACGCGCCGCGTCGTGTCGCGCATTTTACACGCGAATTCCGCGAATTGCGTTCCGTCGATTTCGATTCCAACATCGGTGGACGCGACGACGGAAACGGCGTCGCGTGCCGTTCTCATCAACTGCATCACGTTCGAAAGACGAAAACGCACGTATCCGGTGTGCGTTTAAGGTCAACGCACCGCTCCGTCCGGTTAACATCCGCGGAGAAGCAGGCGTGTAAGCGAGCAGCGGCGTGCGCGGCTCCGCAAACGATAACGCTGTTAGGTCGGTGTCAAATTCGCGACATTCCGCAGCTGTCACCGCGTTGCGATCGTGGTTATCGCGTTTGATCCGCGCCTGTTGTTGCTAACGAGTAGCGTTTAGAAAGATGTAATACCGTTACGCGACATACACACATACACAACACACACATAAACGCACTCGAAACGAGATGCCGCGAGTCATCGCACAAATTTTTGCGCAAATGCAATTCGATATAATGCGAAACAGAAAAAATAAAAAGGACATTTCGCGGCACAGCGGGTTTGAGAGACGGGCAAAAAAACGCTAACAAAACATATTCACGCGAGATGGAGGAGGCAAAGAGAAGAGAGGTAACTCACCGAGAATCGCCTGAAGGGTCTGCTCGTCCCCGTCCACGATGACGTCCATGCCGCCGTCGTTGTTGTTGTTGTCGATGGTCGAGTTCCGTTGCTGTTGCTGCTCCTTCGGACCCGATCAACGGGCCCCATTCCGCGACGTTCGTATCGCGGCGACGACGAGGTCTCGCTGCGTCGCGACGTCCCACATAGCACTTTAACGACGACGTCCTGTGCACCGATCTCTCGATCCTTCTTTCTCCTCCTTTTTCTTCGAGGGAAACCGTCTCTCGTCGTAACGTGTTGGCGCTCGCTCCTTACGCACTACTTCCTCTTCGCTCGCTCGTTCGCCTTTTCCTCGCTCGCACAATCCGCACAGGCGACCCACTACTGCCGCCGACGACTACGACGACGGGTATCGATATACGGCACCATCGCGCCGGACGATCGTTTCGCGGGTCCAGACAAACGCGCGCGCGCGCGCACTCGCGATGACACGGGAAATGGAATGAGCGGAACACACAGCGAACAACAACATAGACGCGACCGACGTATTTAATTCCTCACCGCTCTTCCCGTGAGTCGGACTGCTCCGCGAGTCAAGCCGCGGTAATCCCGTGTCGCAGACTAAATCCCAAGTATCGCGCACTCCACGATACCACCGCGCGAGGCATGTTTACGCATGTACAAGTGTACGTAGCTTCGTACGTGCGTACATGGTACGCAGAATTGTTTAAAAATTTTTCATAGTGTTTCCCTCTAGCGGTAAATAGTTGAAACTGATGGATATTTATTGTCTGTATTACATTATTCTATGTAAAGTAGGAAATTTAATTTATCTCCACAGTCGTACTTTTATCAACAATTGAGCATCATGTGTTAGATGGCGCAATAAGTAACGCGCGAAGTCGGCGCTTCAAAAACTTCTCTTCTTCATCGTTTAGGAAATGCAGGCATATCATAGCTCCATGTGTTCGTACTTTTTAGCGTAAGTTTTCTTTCTTGTAACGTTTTACGACGCTTGCCGAATGAAGGCCTAATATCCGGAGCGTGATTAATATCGGGAATGCTGTACAAAGTGTCGTGCAATCGATATAACGTCAATATAAAGTCTGTGTCGGGAGTATCGAGTAAAATGACGCGCGCGCATTCGCGATGAGACGGAAAATGGAATGAGCAAAACGCACAGCGTGAATAACGAGATAGATACGATCGCGCCTGTTCCGCGACTCGTTCAAGCCGCGGTAATCCCATATTACATACTAAATCCCAAGTATCGCGCATCCATGTTACCATCACGTTATTACGCATGTATAAATATGTCGTCCGTGCATGATTTGTAGGATTGTTTTAAAAATTTCTCATGTTTTTTTCTAGTGACGAATGCTTGAAATCGAAGAACGTTGTTTGTTGTCTGTATTAAATTATTCTATGCTAAAGTAAGAAATTTAATTTATCTACGCAGTCGCACTTTTACCGACGATTGAAATAGCATCATGTGGTAGATGGCGCAGTGAGTTGCACGCGAAGTTAACGTTTTAAAATTTCTCTTTTCCATCGTCTAGGAGATACAGACACATCGTAGCCAGGCGCCGCGGAAGTATTTTTCATCTGAGGGGGCAAAATTTATAAAGAGGATACATAATACGTATACATTCATAATATGTATATGTATATGTATGTAACTCCATTCAAACACCATATAATAGGCCACTCAGTGAGTAGTATAAATGTGCGAAAAATATGCACAGATTTTTGGTTCTAATTAACTTAATGCGCTTAATTTTCTTCGTTATATAGTGTACTTCAATTAGAAACGAGTAAAATAGTAAAAAAAAAAAAAATAATGAAAAAAAGAAAAATAACCTATTTTTCCACCTTTGATGTAAATATTTGATGCTTAATATTTTCATGAAACACCTGAACAAAACTGAAAAATTCAGAGGGGCGTAGCTCCTTCCCTGAATTATCTCGGGGTAGGCGGTCGCCCTCTCTGCCCTCTCGGTTCTCTGGCGCCTGATCGTAGCTCCGTGTGTTCGTTATTTTAAGCGCAATTATTTTCTTTATTGTAATGTTTTATGACGTTTGTCGAGTTCACGATTAATATCGGGAGTGCTCTACAAAGTGTCGTGCGATCGCTATGTCAATATAAAGTTCGCGTCGAAAGTGCTGAGCAAAGTGATGCGCTATATTGTTATAAAAAGTATATTGAAAGTGTCGTGTAAAGTATCGCGCGCAATGCGATAAAATACGAGTCGGAAATACGTTCAATATCGGAAGTGTCGTAAAAAGTTTCGCGCGATTGTTGTATTCCACAATTAGTGTACGCGATGTGTGTGTGTGTGTGTGTTTTTGTGAGTGCCTCTGAGTAGCAACTACGGTGCAGCAAGAGAGGAGGAGGAGACCCGGGGAGTATCGGGCGACGGCGGAACAACCGTGAGGTAATTTATTATTTGTATATTATTCGTTTCTCTTGCAAAATATATAAATATATACTAATACTATCTGTTATATGTAATAATAAATAAAATAAAATTAAAAAAATATATAATTGTTTTTACAACATTAATTCTTTTGGATTAATAATTTGAATATATTTGCAGATTAAGTTGCAGATACAACTCCGCTGCTGCGCTTCATGAATCGGTAAGTGTTGACTTACTTGCATTTTAATTTATGCGACAATGTAGTTTCAAATTTGCTTGCATTGATGTAAGCAGCGTAAACCAATATAAATATGTAAACGATATCTTGTATCATATTTGTTTAGCTATAAGGTCTTTTTACAACCAATTGTCTGATAAACTTTAACTTATTTTTGGAATAAGCCACAAAGTGAGATCTGAAAAACATATTTCTTGTTAGATACAGAGAGAAAAACTAAAATATTAATTAATAAATAATAACAATATACTATGTATATTATAATTTACAATATATATTTGTTAACGAGATATTTATATAAAAAGAAAATTCATGCATTTTTTCACAAATGTAATTACTATATTAAGAAAATGATAAAGATACAATGCTAAAAATTTGATACAGGTTTGTGGATACTATAAACATTTATTACATCACATAAGTACAATTGAACACCAAAGGGTTGCTAAATTATTGTTATGTTATTATTGTTATTACCATCGCCTATTAATTACTTTCACATACATCTATGCTAAGTCACTTGCGGCTTTGCGCATTCATAAATAATATACTTTGTCTTACACAAATACATATTCTCTTAAATAGAATTTTCTCTCTGTACAATTTATGTACATACATAATATATACACATATGTATACTCGTATACTTACTTGTATACATACGTATGCTTTTCCAGGCATTGTGCCAATAATTTAAGTGAATAACAAGCGATATGGATTATCTATATCGAAGGGCTTCACTTTCTTTACAGTACACATACGAGCCTATTTTATATTTTTCGTGTACACACCAAAGCCAGATACATCTTGTCCTGTTTAGCTGTTAGATTTCAATTTATCGAGAACAAATCAAGATGATCCAGTTGGACCACGTAAAAAGAGTCGCTAGTCACTAAAAGATCTCAAAATGCATATAATATATGCTATTGGATTTAGATTTAAAATATTATTCGAGCTGGCACTATCGAGAACTTTGGTATTATTACACTAGTTTAGCTAATAAATAGCCTAACAAATATAACAGTCAAATCAAATATATTTATTCAGATAACATAACATTAATGATGAGATAATTATTTATTGTCATGCAAATTCGCACTAATAATTCAGATTCATGTTGATTTCCTATTAATTCCTATTAATTCATTCAAATAAAAACCATTGGAAATTAATTCTTAATTAAAATATAAATTAGCAATTATATATATAATTTTTTTTCCAGTTATATTGTACTATCCGTGTTCAGTCTTAGTCGATAAATTAAATAAAAGTAAAAATTACAGAAGGATATTTGAAAAAAATTAAATAGGAACTGGAAATAGAATAATATCTACTCGATTTTGGGTCCCATAAATTAATAATTATTTCAAATTATTGTTATTCGCGTGTCATGATTTCACATTTAACTACATTCCATTAATTTCCAAGAAATTACGATTAATTTTAGCTCTAACACATTCTTACACAGCTTTAGCACCTGGAATAGTTCAGTAAATTTTGTCATATATGTCTACTCCGTCATGGATCACACGACGCTATAGCGAAGAATATTGTTATTACAGTTGTTACAGTCGCGAAAGTGTTTCTATACATTTTGTTTGAAATTTTATCCGAACTTATTAGCTATTTTATAACACACGAGGAATGTATGATTAATTAAATTTTCCAAGTTTAGAAACTGATCTTCAAATAGATAATATAAATGTTTTACGAATCGCGAATACACTTAAATCACTGTGTCTAAAGTTTTATCTTTTTATAACTCTTTTCGTAACTTATATAAAATAATCCGATCTCGACTTAGACATACATATCGATTCATATCGCGCGTCATTATAAACGTAAACGGTCTCTCCGTTAGCTATTCGTAATTCTTCAGTTTTAGAAAGCACCTGCCTAGAAAATGCACTCCAACGCGGTGAAACCCGATTTCTTTTCCTTTTTAGCTTTGTGATTGATATTAATTGTCAACGATTTGTCATGGCAGTAGTAAATGGCAGCTTATTAAACGAGTTTTGACTCGTCTGAATGTTGAGATAAAGATGAGGAGCGCCGGTTCACGGGCTGAGATTGAGATTCATTAGAAGTTATCGCTTTTGCGGCAGATACGCATGCACATCTTGGGCGAAGTGACACTCTCATAGGCAACAAGTCCTCTTTCAAGAGAGAAAAAGATAGTTTCCTAGAATAAAATCCGTTCAATCATTCGACGTCGACGATTTGCTGTCTAGCGTCTGCTCGAAAAGATAAAGTGCACGATGAACAAACTCGTATTGTTCAGCCGTTTGTACCATTCCTCCTCTGTCGTATCTAGAATATATCACAAAGATAATTATACATCCGTATAATTATCCAGTCATTTGTATAAAATTACGCAAATTTAAATCTAAAGCTGTGGCTTACCTCATCTGACACAGAATACCCAATACGTCGACATTTCCATCCCTGACAAGTTGAATCATTCCTATCGCTAATGCTATGAAACATCCAGTTCGTCCTATACCCGCGCTGCAGTGGACGACCACTGGTCCTGGCAAAGAGTTTACCTCCGCGGCCATACTGACAAGTGCATCCGCGGCTTGAGGTACGGCGTGGTCTGGCCATGAATCGTACCTTATCGATACATTTTAAAATTTAAACTTAATGTCTCAACATTAAGTTGCACCAACTTAGAATGCATCTATAGATATTCACATATTAATCTACATATTAATCTAGTTTAAAATTATATTTCCACTAATTAATTCATTTATTTTCTAATCTTACGCTTATTAATATTTCACACATTTCTGTCAGACAGACCGTTCTGAATTGTAAAGTAAATCGCAAATATCTAAATACGATCTCTAATAGAAAGATGAATCTACATTTTTAATTGATACAATTTTATACGTTAAGGCATTTGTGATAACAAGAAGCTATAGAAATTTTGTAGCTTTGTTGTTATTGGCAAATAAGTAGTTCGGTAATTATACCAGTAGTGCTGCAAATGTCGTCTTTCTTCCTCGTGCCTGATCTCCATAGTTCTGACGGTATACCCGTCCCTCGTGTCGACATAGTTGACGATTACGGTAAACGGTCCAGCTTGTATGCGACTATTCATGTCAAAGGGAAAGTACGCATCGCATTTCGTTTTAGATGCTTCGTGTAGTCTGGTTATCATAACAACTACAGGAACTCTTTCCGCCCAAATCATTTTCCAGAAATCTGCTACCGTGTGAGCTAATGGTCCTTGCGTCGCGATGTATCTACCATCCTCGCCGTCGTATCCCTGTAATTTTTGTTAATCAGTTACAGCCGCTAATTAGATTTGCTAAATAAAAGGTGTTTACGTGATACATCAATCTTAACTATCATATAATCTTACTGCTTACGTACTCGAATATGATTAGCATTTATGTAGCCTGTGAGAGGATCATCGGAAGAACCTGGTAGAATTACTCTCGATTGCGGATTCGGCAAAACAGTACAGTATCGGTTCTTCACTCCTGAGCCGCTAATTTCCACTTTCTCCGGTAGATTTAACGGCACTTCCCAAAACTCCTTGTGCAACGCTGTCGGATTATTAACAGCTCTTTTAAGCTGAGCTCTCGACAGCACGTTTCCTGCGCTGAGTAAGAATTCCTCCGCTGTACATTCTCGTGTAGGTGTGACCACATGTGGTGGACTCTCGGGAGCTTGTGCTAATTCTATGGTTAAACTCGTGCTTGACCCACGCCGTTCCAGCAATCCCTTCGCCTTTATACGTATCGCTTCCGGTCTACGTTCAGGTGTCGCCAGGGACATTACCTATTCAATTAAAAATAAAAGTTATAAAATATAAACATTACTTTCATTGCAATTATTTAATGTTTCTCGTCTCATCGTTAGATTTCTGTGATTACCTCCGGTAAACCTGATGTTTGAGGAATTGATCGTATAGAGTGCGTAGATGCAGGCGGCTTCGTGAGTGCTTCGTGAACCCATTTGGCTTCCACAGATTCTTTCACGTCTTTGGTTAACTTGTCCGACTGACAAATGGCACCTTCCTCTACCAGGCCATGCCGATCACCATCTTCGCTATCTTTTTCACGCGACATTTGTTTCCGCAGCCATAACAAGATCTGTAAGAAATTGGCTCGTTAATTTACAATCACACATGAATGATTCAAAGATAAAATAAGTTTCTCATATTTCAGAGATTTGTGAAGTTACACCCTTCGAAATAGTTACTTGTCTTCCAAAGAGAAGAAAATGAATTTTCCATGTTTCTGGCAACATATACAAAGAAATATGATACTTACTAAAAATGTAAAAAAGATAGTGCCAGCGATGGCACAAAGCGTTACAAAGAAAGGCAATTGCCAGTCTAGCCATGATAAAGTCGTCCTAGTATGCACCTCCTTGTCTGTTTGACTACTAAGCTGAGCCATTTGGAGATCCATTCCAACATCATCCAGTCCCGTCACGGACTGTTGGATCCTACATCGAACAAAATTTGACATGATGATCAGATCTTAATATTTCCTTGAAAAAAAAAATACATTACTAGGTAAAAACGATTAAATGTGAATAAAATTTTAAGATCTTACTTGTGATGAGATCTCGCAGGCATTCCCTTTGTAAATGGCAATAAGGAAATGAACACCACTGTGTCCTTATGCCACTTCCGTTCGGTGATTAAATAAAATTTTTCCAGCAGATTTATATTTTCGCTGTTAATTGTTTCATCGTAATAATTTATATCATTGGCATAGTGATGAGTCAAGGAAACCCTCCTGTCATCTGTAATAAAAATAGTACATAAAATTATACAATGCAATTTAGAAATTTAGTGGTACTTAAGTACTATAAGCGTCGTAATTATGCAAAATTTTGTAATTATCTATATTATTGCTATTTTCAACAAGAATTTGCTGCGAGAATGTAACGTACGACGTAACGTACAACGGGAGAGTGTGATATATCGTTGAACAGGAAATAAACAACTCGTTTAATTCGTATGAACGGGACAAGGAGGAAATTGTAAAGCGGGAGGAAAGGCAAATGCAACGAGTGAGGGAATGAGAATGGAGAGATAGGACATAGGACTGCGAAATCGTCCGGATTTGTCATTTGTTAACCGCAAATCGCAGCACACGTTATATAGAGACGTTACATATAATACACATACGTGCGTACACACATATACACACACAGAGACAAGAGAGACAGGGCCTAATTAGCACACACTATGTCGAAGTCGGAACATCGCGAAAATGAATCACATCCTGTTTTCCGGTCGACGACAATAATGTTCGCAGGAGTGAGAGAGAGAAGGCTCCACGCTTCTCGACGCAGCCTTGTTTCGTCGATACCTTTCGCCAACAGCGTGTACATCAGTATCGCGAACGCCGTGTGATTGACGGCGATGTGCGATCCACGTGTACGATGGTTCGGAAACGGCGGTCGCGCGTACGATAACACGACCATATTGCAACGGAGCCGTAATCGGGCCAAGCTCGCTCGCGCAAATTCCTTCCGTCAAAATTGTCCAAGAAGGAGACGCTTCAATATCTCGACTCGCACTTCCGCTCCAATTGTAGGATTTCTCGCGACTGCATGGGCTCTTCTCAATCTCTCGCGTGTAGTACGCAGGAGTGAAATGTCGACCAATAGAAACAGCGATAGCCCATCGGTAGCCGGCCATTGAGCTAAATAACATACTGGAGTGAGCTTTTCCCATAAGAATCAATGTGTAGTTTGCGGCTCCAGGATAGCAATAGTTGGCGGGGACGTTTGTCTTTCTTCCACATTTACTATCGTGTATGGTGGGGGATATTAAAAACGAAGACAGACCGAGAGAAGACGTCCTCGTACAATATAGTTCTCTCTGTTTCACAGTAGACCATCCCCACTCCTTCAAGGCTCACTCCAGTATGTTATATAGCTCATTGGTGCCGACCGACCGCGATGCAAACGTGCCGCGTGCGTTGCTCAACGGGAGGGAGTCGGCGTGAATGAAAACGAAGCACGTGCGATTAATGAGTTTTACGTTTATTCAATATGCCAGCGAATATGCGGCGAGCTGTTTGTCCTACGAATTTTGTCGTGAGCCACGCTTATTACCGATATGATGAAAAGTAAATGAAATAAGGATCGTTGTCTGGCATCGCTTAAATTGTCATTGTCATCTTTTCGAATTAATTAAGTCGTTCTCCAATTTGTGATAATACATTTGTGATGACTCATTTTCATCTTTCCATGCATCTATTCATAAAACTAATGGTTATTCAAATACTTTAGATCTCGAGATTACTTTGTTTCGAGATGCACAATTTATGGGTGACAACTTCTCATACAGCACAGAATGATTACAAAAATATTGCAGAAAAATATTTCCGCGCATTTTATAACAACAGATTCTTTGATTAATTTAGAAATGATTTTTTTCTTAGCAAAAAATATTGAAGAACTGATAAGTTGTGAGCGACTGAAAAGAGAAAATCTAAATTTAGAAGGCTAAATTTGTAAGATGCAATATTATTAAATTAGCTAAAATATTCTGTGTTGTATGGACTTGTTCTTAAATTTGAATTATTTCTATCCTTTTTAACGAATCGGAACTTGGCCTTCAAATTTCCGCATTGAAGAATTCTCGCGAAATATCATAAGCATTTATTAAAATTTGATCTCAAAAAATCCTACATTTTATAGATTATTGGATTTACTTATATACAGATTATAAATCTAGATGGAAAAAAAATGCTTGTAATATAATTTTGTTTATACAATTTCGATAAAAAATTACAGGTGTTATTTAAATCTTTCAAGAAACGAGTCCTAGAAGAAAATTGTACTGTTATATCTACAAGACGTCACTTTTGAAACTCTTGTAATTTGAATCTAAAACATATTTTGTTGAACAAGCACTAATTTTGAGGATAATAGAGAGAGAGAGAGAGAGAGTAAATTTTATTTTCAAACATCTGGCGAACTTTCTCGCAAATTAATTCGCGTTAGTAGAATTACTATAAATTACTATATATACTATAGTAAGATAGAATTTTCGCATGCAATCTTGTGTCTATATTCGATTAGTACAATATTTTATTATTTATATTACATTATTTTATGAATAATGATCCAAAAGTTGCAAATTTTTTTTTATAAATCGCAGATATTCGCTTTTTATTATCTAAAAATCACTACAGTTATTAAGATTCAAAGAAAGTTGATCGGCATAGATATCAATATTTTCGTTGATATTAAGCATACGATAGCTTCGATATTCGCGGATATTTTCGCGAACATCTGTTACGCATGTATTTCTCAAGAACACACCGATGATTCACGTAACCGGATGTCCGTATTTGCCGTTCATGCTTGCTTAAACATCACATTCGTTCCGCTATAAATCAGATACTATTTCTGTTTTATCTTTACATTTCCTTGTTGAATCTTTTTTTCGCGCGGTTTTATAGCGATTTTATGAATAAATTAACCAAAATGACAAAGAAATATATATACTTTTTATTATCAGTTTGATATTTCTCTATCAAATCGACCGATTCTATTTTTGCACGCAAAAAAATATTTTTAAAATGAAAGTGAAAATTTCTTTATAGGTGTATTCTCATAGTTTTCTCTTTAGCAAAGAGAATTCCTCTCAATATTAGTTTTTCAATACATTATGTTTCTGAGGCAAACGTGCAAAACATAAAGAACAGATAGCATCTTTTTCTCTAAAAAGAAGTATATATCAAAAGAGGAAATATATATATATATATATAATAGACATTAGAGCATTACGTCATAGGAGATCGTAGGTCCTCCTCGAGTGTGTATTATTTTCACATTTGCTTGTGTAAAATCTACTACAGATTACAACACATTCAGTGTTTCATTCAAATAAACTTCAAAGAAAAGGTTATTAGTAAATACTTTTTTATGCTAACTGGAGAAGATGAGTACTATTTTTTAGGAGATCTTCTCTTTATCTGATTATGAGATGAAATTCTCTAACAGAAAGGAAAATTCTCTTGAAATGAAACGTATACTTTTGGTCCTCTATAGAAAAAGAAAATATGCATCAGATTTAGAAGAATTTTCTAACTTGAAGAATATTTTTGTTTGGGTGTGCAATTCGCTGTTTTATACGTTACTTACCAATGGCCACAGCAGGGCAATGGAAACCGGTGATCATTGTTGTAGTAGCTAAAAAATCAATAAGCAGCATATCGGAACTGAATATGTTCGACTCTGTTTGCGTGATCTTAATTATTAAGATTATATTGTTTCAAGACGCAAACATCGTTCTCGTCGATAGATTTCATCAAACGAACATTTCAACTATCTTTCCATCTATTAGAAAAATTAAATTATTCCGTTTTGAGTTTGATGAATAAATTGATGAGTAAGCAATGAAGAAAAAACTTTTTCAACAAAAATTAAAGATTCAACATCTGGTAGCAAAATGCGAAAACTTGTATGAAAGTAAGAACGGACTCCGCACTGTCAACTGAAAACTTGATTCTCATTCTTTTTCTTCTACCAAAAGTTTAGGAGCTTTCGTGGAGTAATCACAGAGATACACGCACTTGCGTGAAATTACGACAAATTTCCGGTCGGGGAAAGGAAATTTACGCAGGATTAAAAATAGTCCTCGTCATCTTCGCTAACGATCAAATAATATCGCTAAAAATGAAGAAAAACATTTGATTACTTCGCCCCGAGCTCGCGATTCGTTGTGAACAATGAAAAAGAAAGTACTTTCTACACATGGAAATTAAAACAAGATCCAACATCCGCACGACGCGTAGAGAAACCTACACGAATGTAAGAGCAGGCTCCGTGCTGCCGACTGACGTAGTCCCCATTCCTCCTTCCGCAGAAAGCTTAAGAGCTTTCGTGGGGCGCACGCACCGATAGAGATACACGCACTTGCGTGAAATTGCGTTACGACGATTGATCGGAGGAAGGAAACTCGAATGATTACGCAGGATTAAAAATAGCTCTTGTCCCGTCTTCCCTAATGGCCAAATTGCGCGTTGATCGGAGAATCAAAATTGTAGCACCGAGTCTCACAATAATCTCGATTTGATTAGAAATTAGAAATTTGAAGAACAAAAATATATAGATACGAATGAGGTGTGTTTATATCGGAGAGGATAAAATCATAAAAATCATAAAAATGTGATCCTTAAGAAGAATAACGTCTATCCTTAACTAAAATAACGTCTTTATTTTAATAAACGTCTATAGACGTTTAGTTACGCGCGTTTCTATACACGAGGACTACCATGCTGTCGAATCAATTCTTAGTTTTCAGAGCTCAGTTATCTATACCTACAATCATATACAGTTTGCAACATGTATTATTGTTGAATACTGTTGGATACTGAAAGAAAATATTGAAATCAAAGATATGTTTCTTATGATAGTAAGTTATCGATACAGGTGTGCTTTACATCAACATAATCGACGTAAATAACACGATTCACGTTGATCTTGGTCTTTAAATTCATATCTTCACGCGGAAGATGTAACGTGAAAATTGTTCGCATTTGACGCATGCGAATCCATTTATCAAAGAGCTTATTCGATACGGACTTCGACATAGCTTTTTATGTTTCACATAAGACTTATACTAAAGATTTATACTAAAATGTGAATGGATCGTACGTAGTTAAGTTACATGTAAATAGAGACTTATACTAACAATGATTTGGGCGATAATATCGAAAGATGGGAATTGCTCTCATTCGTCCTGGTTATCACGTACCTTGCCGGGGACACGAGCGAGGAGACGATCTTTTCCCTCCCTTCGCGGCGCCTTGTCACGTGTTGTTAAGACGTTGTCGCGATCGCCGGCATCACCCTGCGCACATCGATACCGGGGCGGACGATGGGGTAGTTACGCAGATGAATCGTGCGACTGCGTCGAATCGGAGGACCCGCGTCGGACGCATCTGAATGGCGTCTGAACGGATTGCGAAATGACGGCCAACTGCATTCACCTCTTTTGCTGCTGGCCGTGAACGGGGGGGTTGGAGAGACGGGGCGGTGGAGTGCAGCAGACGTGCGCATTCGTGACACGGATACGATCCACCACCGACCCCCGTCGATCCACCCTGCCCACCCTCTGTGGCGGGGTGGTACGTGGCCACCCTTGCATATACCGCGCCGCGGCACCCAGCGATATCGGTGAGATGACGATTACACGGTGATTAGGAAAAAATAATATTCGTCCGCGATTATCGTAAATTATCGTCGACTTGAAACACAGGCGTGTGATAACAGATTTTCCGGTCGAAGGCACAATCTTCAAGTTCCAAGCGAAAAGTTCGAGATATGAAAACAGAAAATTCTCTATTACGCGTCCGATTCGAACTCGGTTGCAAACTTTTCGATAATTATGAAGAAATAATTTTATTGCTGTCGCGGTACATTGCAGAGTTTTAACACTGGAATAACCGAGGACCGTTAGACCTGTCGTTAAAAGTACAAAATTATGCAACATCGACATAATCTCGCTTGTTCGACAGAAATGTCACATTTGGATAAAATTCAAAATTTTATTGCGCAAAAATACGGATCGGTGTTCCGACTGAAAATATTTCTCTTTGTGTTTAAAAATGGTAGAATATGTCTCTGATTTGAATCATGATTTACCTCTCCTCTTTAACTTTTT